GCACTTTTGAGCATTTTTTTTTCACAAATCAAATAATCATTGCTATTGATATCTACCCTAATTTTCTTTATAGGAGAGATCACAAGCCCCATACATTTTGTGAATGAAATTTTGAGTACTATCTTTATCAATCTATACGGGAGCATGATGATGATTGATCTTTCCTTAAGTCCTAATGAATGTGACTTCAATTATTTGACCAAAGCATTGAGACTAATCTTGGATAACGGTTTAGGTTCATCAAATGGAGCCTCGGTCATATGATGTGAACATATCTTGTATAGACGACTTTAGAAAATTCTGTTTTGTTCAAAACTCAAACTTTGGCTTGCAGTTTTTTGGTGTGTGTTTGGTTTTTTTCATTATTATTTAGCCTGGACGTTATTTGAGATTTATAACAGAGGTGTGATTTAGTTTCCTCTCCTGTCTAGCTCATCACAAGATCCATATGGGATCCTACCCTCTCTTCCAGAGGCTACGAGGTGTTCCTCAACCGTTTGGCATGCAGTATCTAGTTGCATATATGCTTAGTACATCAACTTCTTTTATTATTACTTTTTGATCATTAGCATCAAAGAAAATAGGTTTTCTAACAATTTCTTTTTACATGCTTTACACAAGTGATATGTTTTGTTCTATGTAATTTTGATTAAGGGCCATATAATAGCTATAAATAGGGGCTAATGAATTAAAGCACTTGAATATCAAGTAAAATCAACAACTCAATCTTTTTATCGGTGTTGACCCTAATACTAGTGTGTTAGACCGGTCCAGCCGGTCCAGGCGGGACCGGTTCACGGGCAAAAATCGCAAATAGGCGGAGATTTCTTCCGCCTGGGCGGAAGCCGCGCGTGACGCACGCCTTGCGGGACAGTTTCGGGAAGGAAAATTAAGGAAGTTTAGGAGGGAAATTGATTGCAGGGATCGTTTAGGGAATTCCTTTTGAATTGTATGCATTAAATAGATGTTTTTCCTAGGGTTTGGGCATCTTGAATTTGGCTGAAATTTGAGATCTCTTAGATTTAGGTTTTCTTTGGGCTCTAGCGGCGTCTAGAGATTTGGGAGAGATTGATCCTCCTCTCGAATTGAGGATCAATTGTATCTTGTTGTTTTTATTCATCTACTAGTGAAATACAAGCTTTCCCTTGAGTTTTCTCTCAGTTTTCTCGCAATTTCTCGCTATTTTCTTGTGTGTTATTTTTGTGCAATATAATTAAAAAAAATTTAGAAAGAGAGGGAGAGAAAGAGAGATTTTAAATAAAAGAGAATTTTTCTTTAAATAAAAAACCCAAAAATGCCTAAAATACCCCTCCTCACTCCCTCACACTCTAATGACCGAACCCTCATCCTCATTTCACAACATTCCCACGCCAAAGGCCACCCCCCTCAAGCTCTCTTGCGATTCCAAGCTCCCCAACCGCCGACCTCCTCTCTCCAAGCTTCTCCAAGGTTTCTCACCGTCGCCGCCATCCGTCGTCGCCGTTCGATTACTGCACACCAAAGGTAAAAAGCTCGACACAAGTATTTTATATTTCTATGCATGAAATAAGTACTCGTGATCGCTTTTTTTAGCGGGCGAGTAAATTTAAGTACCCGTGACGCTCTGAGTGAGCGGGAAAATTCGTATGCATGAAACTTAAGTACCCGTGACCGCTTTTTTTAGCGGGCGGGGAAATTTGTTATTCGTAGAAAAATTATTTAATTAAGTACCCGTCACTGCTTTTAGGCGGGTAAAATGCTATACTTTAAATATGTGCTGAAAGACCCCGTGACCGCTTTTGTTAGCGAGCGGAGATTCGAACTGCGGCCACGGTGTCACCCGACACCTACCGTGACTGCCTTTCTTGGCAGGCGGGAAGGCCTTACACACTCCGATGCAGCCCCCTATGCGGGGACGACGTCGGAATGCTGCCAAAATTTTTAGCAAAACCTATAACTTAGAAAATTAAAAAAAAAAAGATTTAAAATCAACTTAAAAGTTTTAAGTTAACAAAAAAAAAAAATATACGACACCCTAGGCTCCCGACACTGGAAAACAAATACAAAAGAAATATAAATCAATGTGAAATGCAACATACGGTGAGTCTTTAAGGGAATTAGTTGTTCGCCAATAGGTAGGAATCAAGCCCCTTACTCCTAACTTATGATTTGCACACCTAAGTCCATCACCAAAAGCTCCTTACAAAAATGGGATGGGAAGAAATGAGTTGAAACCCCCTCCTATTTATAACATTGAGTTTGAATTATTCGTGGGCCCCACTAGCCTAGGATCCCTTTGCTACAAGACAAAGAAGGTATACCTGTGGGCCCCACCAGCCTAGGATCCTTTGCTAAAGGATGGAGAAGGTACACCTGCGGGCCCCATCTACTTAGGATCCTAAGATGCCATTTCGAGGCTCTGGCATTGGATTCCTAGAGTATTCATTAGCAGGTGAAATACGAACGTAAATACGAAAGTAAATACGAGTTTAAATACAAGTGAATACGGTTGGTAATTATGTTAAAAAAAGGGAGGGGGTAAAAGTAAATGTAAAAAAAAAAAAACCTTTCATACGAGATGTTTTTGTGATCATCGTAGACACGTAGGAATCCCCGCACATCCCCGATAATTTTCTGATTGAACACCTTTGTGAGAAGATAAAAAATGTTCGTCACATTGTAAGTCACGGGTGCTCTAAGTAGCGTGCATGTCAGCTGTTAAAGTTAGGCGGCTCGTACATCTCGTGAACATGTCTTTAAAAAAGAGACAAAATAGCGCACTCTTATGTGTCACGGGTTGTACGACTCCTAATCAAAGTAGGCACATCACACAAAACCATTGAAAAGAGTGTCGCCTACAAGCTGAAGAATTTGATAGGTGACATGTGATGAATTCAAGCATACAAAGATACAACAAGCAATAAGTGCAAATTTTTGCGGGGTTGTAGGAGACCCGTCATGTATGCAAAATGTCATCTACGCACACGATTTTATATAAGTACAACGAATGTGAGCACTTACGATCTGCTGAGGAAGACCCGTCATACATCCAATGTATTGACCACATGCAAAATGTCAAATAACTACGGCGAATGCAAATACTACGAACTGTCTTAAGGAACCTGTCATGTCCTCAGAGTGCTACCCTCAAACAAATAAAGAAGACCTTCAACAAGGGCAAGCTCCTACGAGACAAAAGACAGGAGATTAGTTAGTGCATTACGATCCACCTACAGAAAGTAAATAGTGCACAACAGTTTACCTGTATAAAACAGCGAACAAGTCAATTCAGAAGCTGCTACAAAACGCCACCGGACCCGCAGCTTCTATACAAGCGAACAGAAGGTGTTTCACGAATATTCCAAAATACCCTCGCACATACACTGTAGTTTCTACACACTTAGGTACACTAAAAGAGGGTATACAATCAACATCCGCATGGGCCCTGACGAGCGTGTTATTGGTACACACGTGACGTCTAGGGATGCTGCGCGGGTTGATAAGTGAATTCAAGTTTGAACCCGATCCTTCTATATGGATCAAGATCAATAGGAGTTGACAGGGTTCGAATCTTCAAACAAATACACAGTTGTAGGGACCGGTGTATTTGTTTTAATACATTCATATTAGGCCTTCAAGGCCTATAATCAAGAGAATTCTCTAATAAAGACAAAAAGCCTACGAAACCCGACCCTCCTCAGCAAGCTAAATAGGAGTGGACAGGGTTTGAACCATTGGATAAATATGCGGTTACGAATTTGATCGGAATATTTATTTCACACATTCATATCAGGATTTCAAGGCTTTCAACAAAGAAAATTCACCAACAAAAATACAAAGCCTACGAGGAACCCGATCCTTAGTCAATAGGTTGGCTGAGTTGACAAGGTTTAGTTCATAAGAGAAATAACCCCACACCCCGATGATGGCCGCGTTGAATGTGAATCTCAACCGGAGGGGTTAATCTCTCAGATATTTCAAAATGTCCTAAAATTTCTACAAAATTCAAATTCCACAAAAATTCAAAAAATCATCAAGCTCTAAGATATTTGAATTTGAAACCAATCATCAAAACACTTAAGGCAAAATCCATCCACCATTCGCAACAATTTGTCAGGGTGGACAAGTTAAAAACTACTTCAGCTCACATTGAGCTAAATGCCTAGTCGAAAATATCACTAGGATCCATTCTCAAAAAATCTCCTGCCAGTAAGGACGTGGTACGTGTCCTCTAACCGGCAGTTTCGCCGCCAAATGGCACTGCAGGTAAACGGTTATGACCCGGGGCCCTCTGAACCGAGTGGTTTTGCCGCCAAATGGCACCACTTCGAAATCTCTGGGTAGTGTCTTATCTACAAACTCATCTGCCTTCCAAAATTTACCCCGGAACTTAATTCCGTTAAAACTCCCTCGCCGAATAAAAAGAAGAGCGAGCGGAGGCCGGGGCCGAATTTTCGGAGCCCACAATCAGGAATTCTTCTTTATTTTCTCCTTGGGTCTTTATAGATTTCTCTTTTACCCTGATCTAGTATTTTGTTTCTTTGGGTCCTATAATTGGTATGTCAGCCTGCATATCAATTTCAGGGTTTTGACCGTAAATCTAAATCACATAATCTGGTGCAAAAGTTTTCTTTGATGATGTTTTTTTTAATCCTCAATTTATTGTAACCATCTGTCGTTAATCAAAAGAGAGCATAGGAACGTCGAACCTTGAAGTAAATAGGCAAATCAAAGAAGCAGCGATTGCATAGAATGTTGTACATTTGCTTCCAAGTATATCTCTTTTTTTAATTGCACTATTAACTCGTGTTCCTGTGGTACCCTTTTTTTTGGAAAGCGGTTGAATCCATTTGTGAGACAATTCTTTGCATTTTTTTTGTGTTACATGCTCTTTATTCTGATCATCTGCTGCTCCTGTAAGTTTGAGGTTTTAGCTTTTCATTCCATTTGATTATTGTATTTTTTTGTATTTTATAATTTTTATTATTCTGAAACTTATTGTTTCCTTGATCGTTTATCAGGGATCCTTGAAATCTGGATTATATCTAGTGGCAACACCTATTGGTAATCTTGAGGATATCACATTACGGTGTGTAGTGTTGTTCAGCAGTTGTGATCGTACTTAAGCAGTTCATCTGCCATTTAAGTAAAAATAAACCCTAATCTTTTATTTACAACATTAATATAATCTTGATTTATTTCTTCTGTTGGTTTTAATAAATTCTAATTGCTCTTTGCTGCTGGTTTTAATAAACAAGTTTAATATCTACATGCACTAATTTTGTGCATATTCAATAATTTTTTTTTAGCATTTAATTTCAGCAAATGGATATTAGCTTTGTATATGTAAATGAGATTCCAATATAACATTGAGTTAAACTTATATCCTATTAGCTAATAGTTTATTTCTCGTCTATCGTTAAACCTAAATCACATTTGTTTTCAAGGAAACTTTAAGTTAATGTTTTCTTATGAAATTGAATTGAACTTCAAAGATTCTCATTTTTCATAAAAAATCCTATTTGATATCATATTAGAGAAATCATCAAATTTGAGGTCATTATATTCTTAAATTATTATCATTCATCATCATCAACTTCAAATTCTAGCTAATCATCTAAAAGGTACTATTAGTTTGAGAAGACAAAATGAGCATGGAAATAGAAGAAAACCCTTAAACATTAAAAATTATAATGATGCATAAATTTATCGATGAAATAGTCTTTTTATTATAAAGTAATAAATAAACTATAAAATGAAGCGGTTATATAATAGATTTATTTGAAGATAGATGTAATTTATATAGCATTGTGGATGTGAGAAGATCTCTTGTAGTATTTTTCCTGACTTCTTTTTGCCTCACCATTTGGTTGGACATTGCTCGAAAAAGTTAAAACATGAAGTTTAGAGCGTATGATCAGGTTTAACATTTGACTACTTGATTCTATCAATATCAATTTTTCACTGAACACCAACTTCTGGTGGTTATAGATGGAAATTGGAGATTAAGTGCTTTTTAAAATTCTGACAAAGGGATTTAATATTATGTTGATTTTGATGTTGAATTGTGACTGCACAGCCTCTTTGAAACCTTCTTCAATAGGGAACTGATGAGTGACAATTGCAAATTTTAACAAAGCTGACATACTTCACCTTAGGGCTGTGGAATCTGTACACCGTATAAATTAATAGATCTTAATTAGGCCAATTTATCAATCAAATTGGATTGAGAAAAATACTCCCTCTTGATGTGAAAGATCATTTTTAATCTTTTGCAAGACCATAATAAACTTGATAATGCAAGCATCTTGTAAGTTTTAAAATAGACCAAAATTTGAAGGGAAACCAGCTATTTTTTGGGCTAGATATATAAACAGTTTGATAAGAGCATTTGAGTTGAATTATCTTCTTAGCTCGTGAATGTCAGTGTCGGGAACTATATGGCTCAAAGAATTAAGAGTTTTTGTAATGCGAAATGCTTTGAGAAATGCATATTATACTATAGCAACATCAAGCCGTTATCACACTTCGTGGGGTTGACTACCTAAATCATTTTTTTTCATTGTCCTAATTCTCATTTATCTAATAAAAAAAGTCATTTTTAATACTGTCTTTTTAGGTCTACCTCTACCTTTCTTAATATATGTCATATCTAATATATCTACCCTCCTAACTGGGTCATCAGAAGGTTGACTTTTCATGTTACCAAACCATATAAGACAACTCTCTTTAATCTGATCTGCCATTGGAGCTACTTCAATCTTTTCACATATATACTCATTTTGCAAAGGTGAAAGGTCCTCCAAGTGTAAAGCTACTCATTCACTTGAGCATCCTCATCTCTGCAACACTTAACTTAATGTTATGCTTCTCTTTTAATGACCAATATTTGAATGAATATTACAGTACAACAACAACAACAAGAAGTCTTTATCCCACTACGTGGGGTCGGCTACATGAATCCTTTTTCTTCATTGTGTCCTATTAAAAGTCAAATTCTCATTTAAATCTAATAGAGAAAGATCATTTCTAATATATTCTAACCAAGTCTTTTTAGGTCTGCCTCTACCTTTCTTAACATAAGTCAAATCTAATACATTTAATTTTCTAATCGAGTCATCGGAAGGCCGCCATTTTATGTGACCAAACCATCTAAGGCGACTCTCTCTAATCTTATCTTCTATTGGAGCTACTCCAACCTTTTCACGTATATGCTCATTTCGTATCCTAGCTCTAAGGGTAAAACCACTCATCCACCTGAGCATCCTCATCTCTATCACACTTAACTTAGTATTATGCTTCTCTTTTAATGGACAACATTCGGCACCATAAAGCATTGCAGGCCTCACCACCATCTTATAGAATTTTCCCTTAAGTTTAAGGGGTACTTTTTTATCACACAATAAGCCCGCTGCATTCCTCCACTTCAACCATCGAATTTGAATTCTGCTGATAATATCCATATCTATTTCACCATCACTCTGAACAATAGATCCAAGATATCTAAAACGTGTACTCTTATTAATGATTTGATCACCCAAAGTCACAAACCCCTCCCCAGGTCTATTACTACTAAAATTACACTCCATATATTCTGTTTTAGATCTACTCAAGCGAAAATCTTTAGACTCTAAGATTGACCTCCATAATCATATGATGACTATAGACTTTATTACACTTACGGCTCCTCCCTTCAAGGTTGGATCTAAATCTCTAACTTTTTAGAAAAGAGAGAGAGCTGGGTACCTCCTGTATGGTCACTTCTAAGGCTTATCTTGTCAGGTCTTTCGCCTTGTACGAGCCTTGCTCTTATACTATGACTTTTCTCCTTTAACCTTTAGACTAGCATAACATACATCCATATTATGATATTACAACATGCAAAACATGTTATATCAAAATAAACTCAATATATCAAATAAACTCAATTGAACAAGTGATCATAAACTAAAAAATGCACATAAATTGATAATATGGTTAATCTGAGAAATAATACCACCAAAGTTATATTAAAATTTCTACCATTTATTTTATTTATACTAAAGATTGGATATCTCACATGCTTTTCTAGGGTATTAGAATGGATTTGATCTACTAGAATACTCCGACTTCTTTGTTTTTTTTTTATAGACAATCTAAAGAATAAAGAATTTGCCATTCATAAATGCATTCTAACTTTCATTGTTTTTGAAATCAAGTAATAATAATAAAAAAAAAAAAAGAATTTTCCCTCAACTAAACTTCTCCTTATTCAAAACAATTTCCTCACCTCACCCTAGCCTCCTTCCTCTTATTCTCTTATTTCCTTGCTTGTCTTCCTCCCCCGATCTCATATACTTAGCTATAGTAGCCCTTATAGAGTTATATTCTTCCCTGCTTCCTCTATAGTTCAACGGCTTGCGCTCGGCAGAAGTCTTCTTCCGACTCTAGAGAGAAGTTACGGGAGGAGGAAGGAATTAAAAGGGTTAAAGTATACTTATATAACTTATTGTATAACTAATACTTTATCAGAGAATTAAATTCAGCCGCTTGATTGCTGCACTAACCCCATTAGCAATTGCATGCGATAATAAGCGGGAATTTATGCTTTGTAACTGTAAATTAACTCTGCCATAATACGTTTGATTAACGAACAGTAAATATTTTTCTAAGTTTTGATTTCCTAAATAAATTAATTTTTATATATTCATTAGGCTTATTTTTTTATATGCACTAATATGTATCAAAATGATCGAAATAAAAAATAGAATTTAATAAAAATAAGTTTGATGTTTTATGGACGTATGATAAAATGGGATAAAATTTTGGGGTAAATTTATGCTTACCGTTTTTGAACAATTTTGGGTATTATAGAATAATTCCCTATCTCTACTATGTAAAACCACAATGCATGTTATGAGAGATTATTTCTAAACTGTATCTTTCTGGCAAATCTCGTTGATTTTCATTACTTTATATTTTGATTGAACTCAGTCTCTTTTTATGTTGTTCATACTTTTGCGATATGATCAGCTTTGCTTAGTTAATATTATGCAGTGCATTGCGCATCCTTAAATCTGCAGATGTGATACTCTCCGAAGATACAAGACACTCTTGGAAGTTACTTCAGCACTACAATATTGATACTCCTCTTGTTAGTCGTCCTCTGTGTGCAATCCTTAGTCTAGTTGAAATTTCTTAGCCACAAATTTTTGCAAAGAATAATCATTAAGTTACTCTCCTTGTTTAACTTATTGCAGTTAAGTTACCACAAATTCAATGAATCTCAACGTGAAATGACAACTTTAAGCAGACTCCGGGATGGACAAGCCGTTGCATTAATTAGTGATGCTGGGACTCCAGTTATCAGTGATCCTGGCTTGGAACTTGTAGGTTTTTTTTGTTTGTTTTTAATTTCAGAAGCATATATTTCTTTTTTATTATTGAGTGCTATACTTGCCCACCCCCTTTATAGATAAAAAGGTATGAGGTTGGTTCTGGATAAGGAGGGCATAAGGCTAGTTGTATATTGAACTCTATGCAGGGAGCTTGTGAGTGGTTAATTTAAAGGTTATAAGTTGGGCTCAAACTTATGATCTATCCTAGGGACTAGATAGCATACTGTTTGAGCTAGGGCTCTTTACTTTCACTCTTTCTCTCACTGATGTAAAACGTAAATGCCATTTACTTGCCTAGGTGGCAAGATTAATTAAATCCCAAATCAATTTGGGGAGAGAGAATGGAAATCTGAAATTAAATTTCAGATTAAGTGGAATTGGCAGGATGAATTTGAATTTAAATTCAAATTTAATGGGGAGAATTAAATTGGATGAGAGGGAATTGTGAGAGGTAATTAGGGAGGCTTAATGAGGGGGGCTATTAATGAGATAGGAGAGAGTGGCCGGCGGTGGACTTATGGGGGCCGGTGGAAGAGAATTTGGGAGGAAGAGAGTTTGGTTAGGTAGAGAAGAAATAAATTAGGTTTAGGAAAAAGAAAATCCGGAGCTACACACCTCGAGCAACACCTCCAATAGAACTCACAAAGAGATATACAAGCGCCACTTCCTCAAGAACTCACAAAGAGATCTTGGAAATCTCGGAACTCACAAAGAGATCCTTCAAGATGATGTGAAACAACAGGAGTTACTTAAGAAATTAAAGAGAGCAAATTAAAAAAATAATCCCAAAATAAAGTTATTACTTATAACAAGGATTGATCCTCGGAATTCATAGTCTTTAACTTGCTTAGGCAAAGAAGAGCGAAGTCGATTAACCAAACAATTCCAGAAAACACAAAGAGTAATTGTAAAGCTACGACGATAAACAAGAATCCACGATTTAATAATGAAAACTTTCACCTTTGGAGCCCATACATTCAAAAGTCTAGGCTTTAGCGGAAGAAGAGTCTCCACATTAGAATCGAGGTCACTCCGAGGAAGAAGGAACCTAGGATCGTCGTTCTTGGATAGGTGGCCGGAGTGGCGGAGGATGATCACGTCCACTAAGGTGGAATGGATACGGTCGATGTATTCTTCAACGGTGTCGTCGAAATCAAAGAGATCCTTCTCCTCTCATGAACTCACTAAGAGATCAAACAAGTAGAATAAAATTTCATTAACAATTCATCATCCCATTACACAAGAAAGGGCCTCTATATATAGGCATAAGAAACTAAAATTAGACAATATGCCCCTATGGCTTACATAGGACGACCCTCTTAAGTGAGGGTAAAAACGAAAAATTTATAATAAAAGTTTAAAAATTACAAATAAAATATAAGATAACGTGGGACGATGACAGCCGTTGATCTTCAGCTCCTCGGATAGCCATGGACGGTTGGATGTCCGCATTACTCACTCTCTCTCTCTCTCTACACACACACACATTTAAGAAAGATCCACAATGCAATTAAAATACAATTGAGTCAAATAATAGCATAGAAGAAATCTAATGGTTTATCTTGAAGATTACTGTTTATTCTTTTCTTGATAATAAAAAGTGCCATTTTGCTCAGCAGTTGTCAATCCAAAAATAAGCTTGGGAGAGAATATTGAAGAAGATGTTTTTTAATTTCATAAAGTCGGACGGGTGTAAAATTTCATTCAATTTTATAAACAATTTAACATTCAACTTCTCAGTAAAAGTGTAAAACTAAAGAGCTACCATCACAAAAAAATTCTATAACACTACTGATACAATTTTTCAATCTAAATATTTACATCAATCATATATTACCTGTTTTCATTTTTGCGTCGTCTTCTAAAGGTGTACTCCTTCAGCCATTTCTATTTCTTTGGAGACTTATCTGAAAATGTTAGTTTAATGGGTTGAGTTTATATTGTAAACTCAGTGGGTAATCTTTATATATATAACATTTAAACATTCATAAAATTCAATGTATGTTCTTTTTCTCATTTCTTATACAATATTAAAACTTATATAACATTTAATATATGTATATTTATATAATATTTAGTATACATATATCTTTCATATCATTTTTCATTTCATTCATTCATTCCTTTAGATCTTTCATATACATTTCATAGCAATTTAATATTTATTCCTTTTCCAATTTAATTAGTACAGGAGCACTGTCTAAATGTACTAATAAATGTACAATCATTTCCATTTTACGTGCACGGGTACGTTGTTTCCCCAACCATTATCATACGAGGTTGAATTCCTGTAATTTGCATGCATATACCTTTTCCCTTTTTCATTTATGCATTCATTTACATATTATGAATCTTTCATATATTTTTATATATTTTACATTATATATACATTTTCAAACATATAAACGTCCATATCCACTTTGTCTTTCCATTACTTGTATTTTATATCGATCTATATATTTTTCACATTTTCATATATATTCATATTAACAGGATAATTGATAAACATCCTTACTGTCATAATAATTTAAAGCTAAATATTCATCATTCATATGTACATTTAAATGAACATCAATTTTCATTTAATGACATTCAATATAAATAAACAATTATATAAAACATATCTTTTAGAATTGAAATAAACATGAAATAATTAAATTTCTATACACAATTGTAATTACCCACTTTGAATATTTTGAATGATCAAATTCCTTCCAAACGTCAAGCTTTACTAGGATTTTTCAACACTCGTTTCAGCTCAATTATGAAGATCTTCTATTGTTCAAATAACATGAATGAGATATTAATTAATATAAAATTTCAACTTGGAGTACTCAATTATATCTTCAAAGTAATATCAAGTATTTCTACTATCCTTACGATAACATAAATTATTTCAAACAATTCTAAAAGTAACTTTTACCTAATTGAACATCATTAATCATAAAACATTAAATGACTCTAATTCATCCCAAAATTTCTATTATATTGAAATAGTTACCTCATCAAAATTTTACTTTATTCTTTACAAATCTACTTCTTCCATTGTCGGATTTAAGCTTGCTGTAATTCAATCCTTCCTACAACAATAATGTCTCTTCAATTAAGAGAATTATAAAATTTTCTTTCTCAGTTTGAACAGGAAATAAAAGAATAAGAAAGGGAATTTACTTATACTTTCTTATGAAAGAATTTTTTCAAAATCCAAATATTCTTTGTCAGAATTTTTTTCTGTCTGAAATCATATACTATTATTGTATTAAAATATATTTTATGATTTTTATTCTTCAAAATTCGAACAATAAATAAATATGATTGAAATCACTTACAAAGGAAAATTTTTCAACACCAAATCCTTCTTCTTTCTCTCTCAAGTTCTATTCCTTTACCTTTAAAAGAGATATGCATCATTTCTTAAGGTTAAATCACGAAGAAATTGCATGTAAAGTGAACGAAATTGAAAAAATAGCATACCTTCCTTTTTCTTCCTCTTAGTGGTTTCTCTCGACTTAGCTTATTTTGCGGTAATGAGTGAAGAGTATGGAGTTATACTTAGAGAGGATTCGTTTACTTTCGTCCTCCTACACGTTCCTTTACTCAGAACAGCGAACCGAGCCTGGTCAAAGCCGCTGAGCTTGGGTGCAGTCCGCTCAGCTTCCGCGTGCTGATCTCGGTTCCTCTCCTACTCGCGTAGTTTAGAAGTTAGGGTTGGCCGGTTAAATTGAACCGGCCAGATTAAACCTGTTATTACAATCTCTCCTTATAAAATTTCATCTTCAAAATTTAATGGCAAGAATAAATCAACATACCTTAATTGAGTAGATGAAGATATTGAACTCTCATTTATGCTTTTTTTTCCAAGGTAGCATCTCTTTTTATGCCAGTAGAAGTACATTTATTAATGTTTCATGAAGTTCAACACAAGCTTCTTGTCGTCAATATTAATGAAATTATAATTGAGTATATTTTTGAACTTTTTGTTGTGGAAATGTTGTAAAGCATGGGAGATGGCTGGAATGGTGAGATAAAAAAATGGACATCTAACTTTTGGATTTTTTTGCCAATAAGGTTGTGAGAAAAGTGGAGGGTTGCACTAGGTAGTCGACAGTTAGCGTAAAACTTGTTGAATAATCATGACATGAATCCTTTAAAAAATTGATGGTGAAATAGATAGGGATATTAGCAGTAGAATTCAAGTTGGATGGTTGAAATGGAGGAATGCATCGGGCTTGTTGTGTGATCGAAAAGTACCCCTTAAACTTAAACGAAAATTCTATAAGATGATGGTGAAACCTGCAATGCTTTATGGTGCCGAATGTTGTCCATTAAAAGAGAAGCATAATACTAAGTTAAGTGTTGTAGAGATTAGGATGCTCAGATGGATGAGTGGCTTTACCCTTAGAGATAGGATACAAAATGAGCATATACGTGAAAAGGTTGGAGTAGCTCCAGTGGAAGATAAGATTAGTGAGAGTCGCCTTAGATGGTTTGGTCACATAAAATGACGACCTCCCGATGACCTGGTTAAGAAACTAGATGTATTATATTTGACTTATGTTAAGAAAGGTAGAGGTAGATCAAAAAAGACTTGGTAAGAAAATATTAGAAATGATATTTCTTTATTAGATTTAAATAAGAATTTGACTTTTAACATGATACAATGGAGAAAAAGGATTCATATAGCTGACCCCACATAGTGGGACAAAGGCTTGATGTTGTTGTTTTTGTTGTTTATAAGTTTGTGAGCAATTGATGCTATTGTGGTATACAACATAATTTATATTTTTTGAAATTCTACAAGGATTATCTCAATAGTTTCCATTATGGGATGAGACACTATTTATGCCATTGAGGTGTGAGAGAGAAATAAGATCATACTTATTGTTATCAATAAAGCTAGCGTTGTGTGAGGGAAATGGATTGTGCTTGAGTTATAGGCTGAAACTATAAGTATATCGAGTGAGTTTAGGATAATGTCATACATAAGATGGAGAAGTGGGAGAATGAGATTGATGTAAAGCAACAAGGTATAGCGGCAAAGTCAATGAGTGAGTTCGAGATCATTAAGAGTAGGGCTTGTGAGAGGCGGGTGAGGGATGGCGTAAGTGGTGAGGCTCATGCATGTTGGAGAGTTTGAGGGTCGAGCATAGATGGGGGATATGTGAGCAAGCATGAGTTCATTGGAGACCATGAGCTCTGTATTTCAGTACATAAAGGGAGAGAGATTGATGGCAGCCGGAAGTTAAGCCAAGTGGGAGAGATAGGTCGATTGGTGAGAGTTTGGCAGGAGATGCGTCTATGGTATTGTGCACTGGGTTGTGAGTGCATTAGATTAAGGAGAAATCAACGACATACATGAGATGTGTGATGGGGAGAGAGATCAAGAGAGTTAGTAAGCATGAGAGATCCAAAGAGGGTAAAGACCCCTTATGTTTTGACGATGTTGTTGTTCATGAGGGAGTGCATATGATGTATGGAGTGGATATGATCTTCATTAGTAATAGGAGTGGCATTGCGGGCATTAATGAGGTGTGATTTTGGATGCAACGTGTTTGTTTGCTTTCAAGGACGAGTGTATTGACGGTTATGATCTTGTTGATGTGAACGAAGCTTCAGGAAGGCATCACATGCAGTTCAAGAGGCTTTGGGGTGTGACTTCTTTGGCATTTTGATTGGGCTTTTCAGTGTTGGCTCAACGGTTCCTGTGAATGTGCAACCTTTATTTTTTTTCTTAGGTAAACACCAATAGAGTAGGACATGATATGAAAATTCTACTCAAGTTTTTCGGTTTCGGGTATTTAATTTTGATTTGTTTCAAATTATGGGTCAAGTTCGGGTCAACCCGAAAACTCGGTTTTGACCCGTGGCGCGATGCAGTTTATGCATGAGCGGTCTAATTTACGGGATTTAGGTTTAGCCTCTATTCATTTCTACGCATATCACCGCCGACTAGTATTCATTTCTACATGTCTAGCTTCTCTGTCTCCGCTCTCTAGCTTTGTCTGTTTAGTGTTTCCTCTTCACTCTCTATTCTCCTCCACCTCCATCCTGGAACTCTCCACGGACCTCGGTTCGTCACTTCCTCTTACTTAATTTCTACTTCATTCGTATTCGTTGCTGGCTTGCCGTGTTTGTAAGTCACGGCTAGGTTTTTGTGAGTTTTGTCATTTAGGGTTTCTTTTTTTTCATTTGTTGTTGGCTGTCTCTCAAAGTAATTCTTGTGTTGAATCTATTGATTTTGGTTTTTGTATTGAAGCAATTAGCCAGTTAGGATAGGCTATTAGGGCATCTTTTTTTCCCCAATTTTTCTTTCGAATTTTTAGGATTTTGTATTTGTAAGGGTTATTTAAAAGGTTGTTTTCCTTGTTGCCAGCTTGTTAGTTGTTTCCTACTTTTCTTTATGCTGTTATTCATGTGCTCATGTATTCTTCTTTACTATTCATATTGTATAAGTTGATTAGAGGCATTGTAATTGTTTTTTATTGCATTGTAAAATAGTATCTGTGTCTTAGACTCTTAGAATTTACAAGTTTGCTATTGCTGAATTTGAGATAAGAAAAATTGATCAATGTTAAATTTAAATTTTGAATTTTCTCTAATATTATTTTTAAATTGTAAATTCTACTTAAATTTGGATTTTTTTATGCACAAAACCATTCATTTTTTAAGAACAATAAAAAAAAAAAATCGGGTTGTTGGGTCATTTCGGGTTGACCCGAAATCCGACCGGGTCGGGTTCAGGTTAAGAAAATTCAACCGAAACACTAATTGGGTCGGGTTTGAGTTGGTTAAAAAAAAGGCGGGTTCGACCCGAACCTGAACCGAAAATCCGTTTTGACACCTTACAGTAAAGACAAAGAATATGTTACTTGCAATTAAAATTAAATTCAGGTTGTGAGTCCAAAATTTCTGGGTAATAATTGTTACATTTTGGTTTTATTTGGTTGTTTCCAAAATCAAAACAATATGGTGATTATGCGATGAATATTGAGTTGAGGGGGAGATTTCTCTCCCTCTTCTCTTTTGCGGCACTAGGATTTGAATTTTGTCTCGGTTGAGGTTAATTGTAGTTCTGCTTGGGCTTTAACATTCTCTGACTTTTCCCATATAAATATTTAATATCCTCCGATCCTGGTAGCAACCAAATAAATACTGAATTACCAATAAGATTCCAATAGTTAACATGGGTTTTCAGAAGAAGAGTAAAATATCATGAGCATGAACAATTGGAATGGGTATGATGAATAGTTTCCAGGATACCAGGAATCTGGGTAGATCTTTTTAATGTTCTGTTCCTTTTTACTAGATCTGATTGGTAGAGTAACTGGTTTGTTGCGGAAATTTCAAATCTTGGTTTATAAGGTTTTTAACTGGATTGTATAAAATGATCATAGATCAATATGGGAAGAAAGGTTGGTTTTCTTACATTCTTGGGGCTATTTCTCTCGAGCTTTCCATGGGCTTTAGAGGTTGTTCTATTAGAGTATGAAATATATCTCGTTTTTCTATTTTATACTGAACTAAAATAGGAGAAGATGAAGGCTCTATTCACTGAGAAGATGAACTATGCCAATAGAACCTTATCTTTGGACTCTTCTGAAACCTGAGCTGCTTAGTTCTAAAGCCTCATTAACTGACTCTTCCGCCATCCATGAGACTAATTGATATGCGCTTGTTTTCTACCTAATCATTTAGCAGACTTGATCATCTTGGCTCATCAAAGTTGACAGACGGAAACAGATGTATTATTCAACTTCATCGGGTTCCTGCTTTATGTTTTCTCAATGTCATGTACCTAGTAGTACATGCATGCGTTGCCAGATATGTTGCATCTGCTTAACAATGCTTGTATTTTCTTAAAGGTAAAGTTATGCACTCGTGAGAACATTGCTGTTATTCCTATACCTGGGCCATCAGCACTGGTTACTGCTCTTTCTACTTGTGGACTTCCAACTAACGAATTCACATTTGGTAACTCAGTTTGATTGTTTTGATTAAATAAGAACCCATACAATTTTCTGGAGGACTTTTTGTAATAATCATAGTTTGCATTGTTCACATCGGATAGTTGGATTTCTACCTAAGCACGCTGGATCAAGAAGATCAAGACTTCTGAATGCTGCCAATCAAGCGGTCACACAAATATTTTTTGTTCCTCCTCACAAGCTTTTGCAATTCCTCACTGAAACTTCTTTGATCTTTGGTGAATCAAGGTATCTATAGTATTTGAATCATGATTTCTTGGACTGTTTTCTTACATATTCAGTGTAGTATGGTTGATGTTTTTATTCTGTTTATAGAATCTGGTTACCAGAATTTTAAAGCCTTCTTTAGCAGCGAAAGTAGTCTGTAGAATAAAGTGTTGGACTGGTCCCTTCCGGCTAGGAGGGATATTCAAATTGAGAGGGTTGTTATGAGATTTGCTATGTTTTGTATGCTTTAAGTAGATTGTTTAACTCTAGGGTTCAGTTTATATGTGTTGTTTTGGCTGAATTAAGAGTTTCTTAGGTTGAGATGGCTCTAGCCAACAGCTAGGAATTTGGGAGAGCCGGATCTTCCTCTCCAATTAAAGATCTAATTGTATCCTATGATGCACAGACACAAACATGGCGACACGGACATGACACGACACAAACATGAGACATGCCATCTATTAAAAAAATAGGACACATAAATGGGCTGGACAGAACATTATAATTTTTATTTTTAAAAAAATAGTATATAAAAATTGAATAAGTATAATGTTAAAAGTAATTTAGAAATAATAAGTCATTTAATTAGAATTTGTGCTTAAATGACTACTATTAGGATCTTGAGAGTCGGGTGTCGATGTCGTATATCAAGCATCGTGAGAGGAGACGACAATGCTGTTGAGAGTCGGACGTCGATGCTATGCATTAAGTATCGGGCATCAATATCAAGTGTTCGTTTTTCTTCGATGTTGAGAGGGCGTTGATCGTCAATGTTAAGTTGACGTCGGACAAATACGAGCTATCAAGTTGTGGGTGTAGAAATTGCTAGCGTCGAGCATCAATGTCAAGACAGTGTCAGACTTTGATATTGAGATATGTCGATGCTGTAACAACGTTAAATGTCGATGTTGAGATGACATTAGACATTGTTGTGAAAGCAAAGTTGATGCCCGACTTTGGTTTGAGTGCGGACGATTGATCTAGTGTTGTGGATATGAAATAAGAAATTTAGTTTATATTTTAAATAAATTAAAAAATTAAATACAAGAAATTATTTATAAAAAAATTTCATAAAATATTTAATACATGCATGTCAGATACGTGTGTTCAATTTGTGTTTAATATTTTTTTTTAATCGGACGCATGTTTGGGGTGATTGACATGTGTGTCGGAGGCGTGTCAGATGCGTGTCATATCAGATACGTGTTGGATATTGCATGGCTCTTTGAGGGAAATTGTCAGTGTATCATAGATTGTATCCCATCTTTCTTTCATAGCTATTTCAATAAAAAGGTCGTTGGTGTGTTTATCTCTTTTTTGCAAATTTTTTGGTTGCTGAAATTGAATTTCAGCCACGGTTTTCTCAAAATTTGCATCCATTTCCTATCAAATTGGCATCAGATTGATTTCTTGGGCAGTAATAAAGGTTTTCCTCGCTGATTTCGGCTGCATTTTTTTTCTCTGTTCTTGTTGATTTTTGCTATTTGAGGGCCAAATTCACATCAAATTGCTATTTTTTGCTAGTTGGAGCTTAGATCTGGGTACCTATGGCAGTAAAAAAAGATAGAAGTGTTGGAGGAAAGATCAGACAATTGAAATATGAAATTTCAGATTTTTAAACTCAAATTTCAGCTGTACACGAGAAGATCAAATATTGAGTTAGAGAAATTTCGAACAATTCATCATTCAAAATTTTGATAGTAAGGTCTTTATATATCTGGATTAAATATATCGACATTGGAGTAGGGATGAAGTATTAAAAACATCTACATTAGAGGATTATATGAGCTAGTTTTAATATTTGAAAATTAATATATAAATAAAAAGACTAATAAAAAGTAATTTAATGAAATGTTAGATATAAAGTCAAAATTATAAATATTAATTTAAATATAAATTTTTATATTTGTATATTATTAGATAATGAGATCGCATATTGATATAGGGAAGCATTTCCAATGGAGAAAGGGCTGATAAGCCTCCAGTCCCTTTGACGAGTAAGGCGAAGAATGTTAAGGCGGGTCCCCAAACAGTCTAGGGGTCTCCCCAGTCGAAGAAGGTAAAGTTAGAGCAGCGTGCTGTGAAGGCGACCCATTGTTGCCGACCAAAGCTATGGACCCCTCAGAATCCACCATTAATGATGATGCAGGAGCAAATCCGAGGAGAGCAGTACTCTTGTTGAGTTCTTAAGATGTCTCCTTGACATTGAGGAGGGTGTGGTGAATTCCTCTTTGGTGACCAGTTGAGGCGACAACAACTGAGGAGGTAACTGAGCTCCCGACAACCTCTGCTGGGGCTGAGTTAATTACTATCTGAAAGGAAGGTAAGAAGAACTACTTGCAATCCTTTGACAAGAAATTTTTTTTTTGTGTGGTCAAGCTCCATTAATGAGCCCATAGTGTGCCTCTCCTCGAGCAAGTTACTTTGTCATGCTAAGAGAGAGTTTGAGGCATTGGTGTAGACACAGTGGGAACCTGGCTTGTATACTAAGATCATGATCCTCCACAACGAGCTTCTTGAAGTTAATTTAAGTTTTTTGAATAAGGACTTCTTTGTTGTTGATGCTTCATTATTAACCGCAAGGGCTCTCCCCCCTGTGATGACAAAGGCTCTTGCCACCAAGCTTGCAATAGCGGGAGAGCTGGCAACGAATTTCAAAACTAATGTGGAAACTACCAAAGAGTAGGAGGCATTGGCTTTTCAAGAGGCCCCAATGACCAAGTAGGTGGTAGCGCCTGCAATGCTGCGCTTCTAGCTCGCCTTGAATGCCTTCCTCGTGAAAACATGTCGGAATAACGGTGAGCGACCACATTAATTTCCGCTTGCGCAGGTACAAGTCGATCTAATGAGACCACCATCACCATGAAGTTCGGCTATACTTGTGCATTCTAACTACATAGAAGTTGATTATTATCATGATCATCATTTGAATTTAGCAAGAATTCTGTTTCAATTTTGTTATGTAAATATAAAAAGAAATGTTTTTCTTATGAAAAGAATGTGTTATCATTTTCTGTAATTACAATTGTGGAAGAAATTAATCATCATGGAAGCAATATTATAGAGCCACTCTCTTTTGATATTAATATTGCCTAATTTTACATATTCCTATCTATCTCCCCCTCATTAAAGCTCAAATGCTAGGAAGGCAGTTTTTGATTCTTTACAGTCATGGTTCTTTTGAGTTAAGTAATGTATCAATCAATTTATACAATCAAAACATGAAAAATTTGGACCTTCCTTTCACTTCCTTGAAACATTGTAGTAATGTATATTTTAGTGTTTATAAATAAGGAGTTAGTTGTTTTAGAAATTGATGTTGGGTTGAAGTTGTAAGGATTTTCTTGTATGCAACGAAATTTGAAATTTGGTGGCTTCCTCCTATTAGAGGCTTTTTGGGAGTTTCCTAGAAGTATTATATGTATATCTTTTTGCGTCATTGTTATTAGAAATATTATCATTTTCTCTTTACCTTGTGCTATATTTCATTGTTCATATATGGGTAGCATACCCTCCCTCCAACTGCATCAATTTGTTTTGTTTTGTAATTCTTCCATGAATCTGATGCATCGAAGCTTAATTTGATAGAGAAATGCTTGTATAGTTACTGACTATAGTTTCCATTTTCTGAATATTTTTCAGGTCATGTGTCATTGCTAGGGAGATGACAAAGCTCCATGAAGAGGTAATATAACATAATTGCACTTAATATTAGATTTTGTGGGTGTTTTTTTTGTCATTTTTGGCTTTGCCATGGTGCTTTATACGGTTATATTTAATTGTAGTTGGAATTTATCTGTTTTTGCAACATTAATTATAACTTATGATGTTCTATCTTTACCTGCAGCAGCATTGATACTTTATTGTTGGTATGCATGTGATTGAAATGAACTTATAGTAACTAGTTCTGACTCAATGTTTAGTTGACATTGAGATTCATTTTTTTTGGCTTCAATTCATAGATCGTAAGTGCATTTCATAGAGCAGTTGTTCCAATTCTTACATTTTCTTCTTTCTTTCTTTTTTATTTTTATTTCTTGCTAGCACAATATGCGATGATTTGTTGCTGGACTGTTTTTGGTTAATACAATATTGCATCTCCATCCGTCATTTCACAGCAGGAAGAAAAACTGCTGGAGTTTTTGTAAGAAGATGAAATGTTGAAATTGCTAGGATATACTTATGGACTGCCATGTGAATATTTGTCAACTACAATTGATAAGTATAATCAAGGGCCATTAATGCAGGACTGTAGCTATTGGTTTACATGCAGTTGCTTCATAGGATTCCAGTTATGCTAAGGCAGGTTTTCTGTTTAAACACAATTTAGATCTTCATTTACTATAGCATTGCATCGTGTGGTTTGGGTTATGCACTTGATTTCTCGGGTATGTTTGGGTTATGTACTTCATTTCACGGGATAAGTTCCTAAGGCTAATAGCGGGTAGGCTTTTGCCGATTGATGAAATTACAGGCTTATTATTGTTGGCTGTTATAAATTTTCTTGCATCCAAAAATCAAAATTGAAGTTTTAAGGTTATTTGAAGTAAAATTTGGCTGATCATGTGCCAACCATATTGACTATTCTTGGGATGAGGAATCAATAAATAGATAGTATTAGGCATGCAAATAAAGTGCTTTGATTCAATACAAATTTTTTATTCTAGTTACAATCTTGCATATAAAAATTAGATTTGTGATCCCTTTGAGCGTCATATAAATGTGATTGCCTAAATGCATGGAAAGCCATCTCCTTGTGCCCGTGTATTTTTATAATTTGGTGAATTCTTTACATTTATTTGAATTCGTCTATTTATCTTGTTATCACCTGCTAATGTTTCAATTTTGTTCAAAATTTGATGTAACTAGGATTCTAATTGCGGTCAAGAAATTACAATTGTTCGTCAATTTTACGTAGTTTAAATTTCTCATTGATTTCATCAGATGTATTCAATCATTGTTTTATCATTTTGATTATAATTCTCTTATTTATTGGTTTGCGTCTAGAGAAAGCTAGTTTTTTCATTTTTAGTGGGCTTTGATTATTAAAGCCTAATGTCCCATGCGTTATATATAAATAGTTGTATTAGGAAATAGTAACCCTTATCATCCCAAATCAAATTGAAATATGAACTTATGGTTGCATCATGCCAACTAAACACTATAAAAATTAATTGGGCCAATAAACGAGATTTATGTAATGATGCAATTAAAATGGAACCGAGTAGGTTATGGGTTGAGCCAATTACTACATAATTATCATGAGTTCAAAATTGTATTCCTAATTGTATTCCTACATTGGATGAGAAACATGTTATTAAAATAAAATCTAAATTATATTGATAATTTGGAAGGTTTCCTTAGAAGGATAGTTTTTTGTTTGATTCTCAAATGGTTGAATGTGCAATATAAAAACTAATAAAACATGCTCAATTATATTGGAAAATTGTTGCTACTAAATCATTATGAGTTGATACGAAAATTAAGCCTAAAGAGCAATAGTTCTAATCATTTGGTAATATGAGAATCAACTGTATGATCAATATGATCATTATAAATAAGATATATAAGGTATATGAGTATATGTGTTGACTTCATATATATTCCATTGGTCGATTTGATTGAACATAATGAAAATGGTGAATGAACACGGCATCATGTAAATTTGGTTTGAGATGCTTCAACCGCAAGCAAAAGCATCTAACCATTGCCGGTTTTGCAAAGCAAAATTCATCGATACATCTAAAATGTCAAAATTTCTTAGAAATGATACTTATATTATCTGATTTTATCATTTATATTATCTGATTTGTCACAAAAAAAAAGTTTTGAAAATTTACCCATGTGTGAAGCTACAACACAAAATTTGAGATGTATGAGAATATCAACACACATTTTGATTTTACTCTTTTAAATTTTAATATAATAAATAAAGTCACAACTTCTCTAAAATCCAACATCCTTTACATGCGACATTGCATAAGGTTCCAAACTCATCTCTCTCAGCCATCAATTGTTTGTCTCTACTCTTGCATACCCACACGAAAACCTTTGCTTGTCTCCCATTCTCCCTATTTGTTTGTGCCACATGTTGTGACCCCCTTCTTCTAAGCCAAAAAAAGAAAAAAAAAAAATGCATGCTGCCCCTTCTCTCGAATTCTTCTCTCTCCCCCCCTCACCCTTTTCCCACTTGCCATCGTTGATTTACTAATCTTATGCAGTGACCCCCTTTTTGTTGCAACTCGAGCTTTTAAGTTTGTGGGCTCAAGAAAAATGACACGAATGCATGAATCCTGCTTTATAGCTGTAGGATTTCATTTCCCTTAAATCAGATTGAAGTTAACCAGATTTCCCCTGAGGGTAATGTCAGGGTTTAAAGATCTGGGGTCCTTACTTCCTATGAATGCAAGCACTCATAGTTAATTACCCCTCTCACTATGTAAGAGAGAATTCTCGATTATTGATGAATAAATTTTAGGTAATTTTAGTCTCAATTGTGGGTGAAATGGAGGTAAACCCGATCAAGATCCCATGGTTCCGTCGTCCCGGGTATACCATAGTTTCAATCTACAAACACTAATAATCATTGACTGTAGTGTCCAGGGAATCTGGTTAGCAGCCATGGGTTGCCTCCTCTCAGGGATCCCGAGTAGACTGAGGTGGTTAGATGTTGATTTTAGTTTTAATTTTTTGTTTGGGGATTGGGTTTTACAATTATAGAAGATAGAGCCGACAAGATAGTTGTAGGAACTTGTACAGGGGAGCTTTGAAGAACATGCAAAGGAGTTTGAAGATTTCTGAGTTGTTTGGAGAGGTTGTACAATTTGATTGAGAGTTATTATTTGGAAAGGATTTTGGAGAGTTTGAGAGCCCGTAAATGTCAAACAGTGGACAACATTCTTCCCCCCCTTCTCCATTTTATTCAATGTATTTTTTTTTATTTTATAGTTATTCTAATTAGTCAATTAAAACGCTCCTGAATTTTAATAAAAATTTTAAATTACTCTCAAATTTGAAATAATTTTATATTTTAAATAACTCTTGCATTTTATATAATTTAATTAATCAATTAATTTTAATTAATTTTGAATAATTTTGATTAATTAATATGAGTCAATTAATAAATTTTTTATTAATCAACTGATTAATTAATATTCAAAATTTAATTGCTCTTCAATTTTAAAATTTTTTATAGATCGTGTTTTCCAAAGTTTGCTAAGTCCAAAATTTTTGAGAAAATTTTGGCAGCCTCCCGGTGTCTCCTCCCCATCGAGGGAGAAATCGGGACGGCCTTTGCCGGAATTTCTTCCTACCCAGACCTAAGGTCAACGACGTATGACCTTCGAATTTAAACAATCCCACCAGGATCTAAGATCGACTGCGTAGGGTCTTCAAATTTAAAAACCATCTCGGTCGGACCTAAGGTCGACGACACGAGGTCTTCAGATTCAAAACCATCTGCCCGGAATAAAAATCAACGGCGCAGGTCTTCGATTTCAAACCATCACAGTCGGACCTAAGGTACGATGGCCGGGGTCTTCGACATTTGCTTAAAAAAGGTCATTTACATTTCACACCGACAAGGTGTCAAAGGGGTGAAGTTGAACGGCGAAGGGATCGACAGCGTCAGAGGCGGGTCGGGCGTGGGAGGCGGAGACGGGCGGAGGTTGGGTCGTCAGGCTCGGTGGCGTTGGATGTGGGTGAAGTCGAACGACAATAAGGAGTCAAAGGATCGGCTCATGTGATCCTTCCCCTCCTGCGAACTGAAGCCGAACAACAACGACAAAGAGGGAAGATGAACTGCGAACCCTAGACGCCTATGTGAAGCAACGAAGTCGAATGAAATAAGCGTAAGTTTTTTTTTCTCTGAATTTCATCCTTTTATTGTTTTGAATTGTCGGTGTCTCCGAAGAGGTGCGTTTTTTGGCGAAGTGGGACCGGCAAAGGCGGTTGCTGCTTTGATTTTTTTTGTTCTAAATATTTTTAAGTCAACAAAATTTATGTTTATGATGATAACAAATATTATGGCTCATTTTCTATTGTCTACCTGTATTTGCAATGTATTTGGCTAAATCATTAAACTGTTTTTTTGTGCTTTAAATTCTGATGATTTTATATTTGTATCAAAGTGCTCTACTGGCAAAGAAATTTGGGATAAATTATACACTATTATATACGAAGGCACTAGTGAAGTCAAGTAATCAAGATTAAATATTTTAATTTATGATTATGATTTTTTTTGCATTAAACTTTATGAGACGATCTTAGACATGTATATAAGATTTTTTCAAATTGTGACATCATTACATGTTTTAGGTAAAGATTTTCAAACTTTGAAGAAGTCAATAAAATTCTACGTTGTTTACTTGACAAATTTGATGCCAAAGTTGTTTCTATTTATGAATAAAAAAATTTGAATGAATATTCTATTGATAATTTGATTGGCTCACTCATTGCCTACAAGCAAAGTTTGGGTCAAAGACTTTTGGATGTAGGTGAAATGATAGTACTAAACGTTGAAGACTCGGAGAAAAGTGGCTTAGTTGATGACAAAAGCGATGACTTATCAAGAAAATTGGAAATCTCACTAAAACATAAGCATAAACAAAAGTGGAATAAATATAAAAATGATAAGAATGTTAAGATTACTTCTGACGTTATTGTTTTGGATGTAGAAAATCTGAACATATAGAAAAAATCAGTACCCTAATTTGAGAACTCTTCCTGCAAAGAAAAGGGTAAAGCTAAGCAAA